TGTGACTAGCCTGGACTGCAGATGACTAAAATCAACCTGCCTCCACTGTCTGTGATAGACTCTCACATCCCTGTACCTCTGACAACCCTCCCCATTACACCCTTCTTCACTAAATGGGACAAATAAAGGAACTTCTGATGATTTAATCCCAACCTCACTACTCTCCCCCTGAGGAGAAATCCTTGGATAATAGGGTACATCCTCAAAGAAAGTGACATCCATAGAGACAAATCTCCTCCCAGAAGTGGGTTCATTGCAGCAATATTCCTTTTGAGTTTRTGCATAACCAAGGAAAATACGTTTTGAGGCCTTAGGATCAAATTTGGAACGATGAGGGCTAAGAATCTGAACAAAGCAAGTACAACCAAAGGTTTTAAGGAGAATGGTAAACAACTCTTTATCAAGATATAAAAGGGTAAATGAAGGCTTCATGTCAAGAACCCGTGAAGGAATCCGATTGATGAGATATACTACTATAAGAATAGCATCACCCCAGAAATGTATAGGCACATTGAAGGTAAACATAATGCTTCTAGCCACCTCTAATATGTGTCTATTCTTTCTTTCAGCAACCCCATTCTACTACGGTGTATGAGGACAGGTACTCTGATGGATAATCTCATGGTCAAGCAAATAGGAGGCTAATGGGTTTGCAAAATATTCTTTCGCACTATCGGATCTAAAAATTTTGATTTTGACCCCAAATTGGGTTATAATCATCTAATGAAAGGTTCGGGTCAATGTTGGAACCTCATCTCGAGAACGCATAAGGTAAACCCAAGAAAAACGAGTATAATCATCAACAAACAACCGAAAATATCTGTAGCCCCCATGGTAGTAATATGATAAGGTCCCCAAACATTAGTATGAACAATTTCAAAGGGAATATTGCTTCTGTTATTACTCAATGAATAGGTTGTCCTACAGTGTTTTGCAAGCTCACAACTCTCTCATTTTAAACTAGATATCTGAATAGATTAAAATAAACTAGGAAACAAACTCTTCAAAGCCCGAAAAGATAAATGACCCATCCTATTATGCCAAAGCATAACCTGATCAACAGACTGAGAAACAAAATACCTCTTAGTTTCACGATCTTCCCCAATCACCTTCCTTGTCTCCAGATCCCAAAAAACACATCGATCAGGAAAAAAGGTTACTGAACAATTCTGGCTTTTTGTAATGCTACTAACTGAAAGCAAGTTAGTACTAAGTTTAGGAACATGCAAAACCGAAGATGAGGAAATGGCATTAGACAACTTGATGTCTCCCTTGCCAAAAATAAGAACGAGGGAGCCATTAGCAATGGACACTTTGTCTCTGTCGGAAGATAAATGATAGGTAGTAAACACTGATGGCAAGCCAGTCATATGGTCAGATGCTCCTGAATCTATTATCCAAGAATGTTCTATATTACCTGTACTGAGGCATGGTGAGTTGAGGCCCGATTACCTGAATGAGCAAAAGCTGAGGTAGGAGGTGTTGATGGTGTCTAAGGAGGTGGAGCTGAATTACCAACTTCATTTTCCAACTGAGTTAGAGCAGCTCGAACAGCAGCTAGGGTGTCTAGAGGAGTGCCTCTTGTGCCAAATGATGTTGTACTATCAGGTGTTAACAGCCATATTTGCATTCCCCTTTTGGTTTCTAAGTTTTGCTAAAACTAGATGTGGATGCAACTTCCAACAAGTGTCTTTAGTATGTTTAGGTTTCTTGCAATGCTCACATACTAGGTCCTTCTTAGCTTCCTTCTTCATATCTCTTTCCTTATCACCCCCAAATTTGGGCTTAATTGCTGTTAGGGATGATTCGAAAGGCTATTGTTGTAGCATAACTTTTATCCTAGCCTCTTCACTGTGCACTAGGGAATAGGCCTGGGATAGAGTTACACTGTCTCTTGACAATAATTGTTGTCTCTTAATATCGTATTCAAAATTTAGACCAGCCAAGAACTCAAACACTATTAGTTTCAACCTACTTTCTATAAGTTTGTGCATCCTTCTGACTCTCCCATTCAATTGTTTCAAGGTGGTCAATTTCATGCCACAGGGATTTCAAGGTTGAAAAATAGAAACCTATTTCTCTCTTTGCTTGAGATTTTTAACCTCACATTTCAGCTCATAAGCCCAAGCAACATTAAGGGGCTGAGAGTAGGTTTCTTTCACAACATTTCATATTTCCTTAGATGTTTTTGCCTATAAGTAGTTTCGGCTGATGTGTGGCTGCATAAAGTTGCACGGCAATGTCATCACCAAATAATTTTCCTGAATCCACTTAGCATAAGTGGGATCCTCCTTAGTTGGTTCCTTCATATCCCCCAACAAATAGTTCAATTTTCCTCTACCCCCCAATGGCCATCATAGCTGATTGGGCCCATTCTAAATAGTTTGATCCATCAAACTTAACAGTTGTAATCTAAAAAGTGTTCTCAGTCATGTTACCTGAACCAATCCCAAAAACACCCTCCCCTTGGCTCTTAAACTCCATTCTTGGTTAGGGGTTAATCAAWAAACACCTTCTAATTACTGTAACAATCGGCCTACTGGGTCTGAAACTAATAACAGTAGGTCTAGAAGCAGAATTCAGATTTAGTAATTAAAAACACTTTCAATTCACTGTATCACTGTATTAGTCAGCCTACTGATTCTGGAAACTAATAACAGTTGGCCTAGAAACAGAAATCAGATTCAGCAGTACTAGGTTTTTGAAACAGAGAACAGAAACAAACTTAAATCACTGTATCAGTCAGCCTGCTGGTTCTAATATCAGTCGGCCTAGGGACAGAAATAAGATTCAGCAGTACAAGGTCTTTGAATACAGAGAACAGAACTCCTAAACAGAGAACAGAGAACAGAAATCCGATACCAGCCAATTTATCCGGACACAGTAACAGTCCTGGATTTCAGGGTTTTCTCTTAAAACCCTAAATCAGAAAAAAGATAATTTTTTTATAGCTGTACCTCTCAGATTAAGCTATCTTTGCTGCCAACCTCAAGAAGGAATAAAATCTTACCCAGAAATTTCTGAAAAAAATGATCTTGATCCAAAAGTCTTCCTGAAATTCTGATCGCCACCTTCAGTCTTGCTCAAAAAACTGATCTTGAATCTGATCAACCCCAGAAAATTCTGAAAACAAACTGATCTTGAGAAAATCCTCTTTGAAAACTTCAATCTTGATCAAAGAACCAGAAAAAATCTGATCGGCACTAACCTTGATCACTTAATTCTTCTCTGATTCTTCCTGATTACAAGGAGCATTCTCCAATCCTTGGACAGTTGCTGAAGACTTCTTGTAATCTCCAAGAATCAGCCGAATGAAAAATCTTTCTAAACTTCCAACCCTAAATAATTCTCATGTGGTCGGCTGAATTAATTCCACATGAGAAACCCTAGATCGAGTGCTCTGATACCAAGTAGTCGTACAAGATTGCAACTAGTCTTAGGTTTTCAACAGAAACTAAAAAGAGAAGAAGAAAAAAGAGGAGAAGAGAGAAGGATAGAGAGAGCTCAAGAGAGATTTCTAAGAAAAGAGAGAGTGGTTGTATTAGAAACAGCCGCCCCACTCTTAAATACATATGCATAGTGTCATAATTGTAAAAGGACTGAATTGCTTACATGGCAAGATAAGATAAAGCTGAAATAGTAATCCTAATCATAACTAATAGACTAATCCTAATCATAACTAATTGCTGACCTACAAACACAGTGAGGACCGCATTAGTGTTCTCTACAGGGCGCCTTGTCGCCTTGTCGCCTAGGCAATGGACTTTTTTATGTGAAAAGCATAGATCCTAGGGTAGCTCCCTAGGTACCATAACCATATTTCCTTAATAATTATTCATAGTTTTCATAAGAAAAGTATAAAATTCATGTTAAAGTATAGATAATCAACATATTCATGAGAAGAAAAAGAAGAAAGAAAATAAAATTGAAAAAACATAGGGGCTGAACCCTTATTTTTGTTATAGGAAAAGAAGAAAAGAAAAAGTAGAAGATATGGAAGAAAAAGTTGAAGAAAAGAAGAGGAAGAAGAAGAAGAAGATATGGAAGAAGAAAATGTGTTGATTAGACAAATTTTTAAGTTCTACCTTATTGGTTCAGGTTTTGAAGTCTTTGAGGGTTCAATACAACATTTAGCAATGTTTGTGTTGATTAAACCTAACAAATAAGAAAATAGTAAAAAAATTAGTATATAAGCACACAAACATTTTAGTTTAATAATATCAATTTTATAATTATAATCCCGAAAAATAAAGAATAAAAAAGTATTTTATAATAGAAAGTACAAAATTGCTTGGCAATTAGGCGAGGCAAGCCTCCAAGGGCACCTTGTCGCCTAGGCACCCCCCTAGGCGTGCCTTGAAAACTATGCTCGTGATGACTTCTTAAGCCCATAGATAGCCTTCCTCAATCAGCACACCTTCCCCGACTCCCCCTGAGCAACCAACATACCCAGGAGGTTGCTCCATTACACCTCTTGAAGATTAGCATGTAGAAAAGCATTTTTGACATCAAGCTGCAACAGGGGCCATTCAAAGTGGGCAGCTAAAGAGATGAGCACTTGTACGAAACCTATTTTAGCCACTAGAAATCACCAATGAAGGTTGTGGTTTGCTCTGATGCCAAAAAAGGAATTCTGGAGGGAAATATGTCCTAATATGAAGAACACTCAATTTTCAGAACCCCCACAAAAGAAGATAAAAAAAAAGAGAAAAGGAAAAGCAAAGTAACTGTTTATTCAGAATCCAGGAAATTTTCAGAAGGCATTTATGGCTTATAAGTACAACCCATCAACATAACATCTTAAACAACTTTTAGCCAAACAAACATCCACATATATGTAGTGCAGGAGCATGTTAACACTCATCTTGCCTGCTATGTGGTACTGTTTGGCTCATGTTATACCTCAGCTGGCATTTATGTGTGCATGTAATTGTGTACATAATATAACAGAAAATTGATGACATTTCCCACCAAAAACTAAGTGAAGAAGCTACACACACCTTTGTGAAGCCTGGACTTGCAATAACAGCACAGCGAACAACTTTGAAATCAACATGCTTTATAAACGCCTAAGAGACAAATGCATAGCTTGTCAGGTTCCAGGAAACTGTAGCTATGACTGAACTTGAAGTTAGTATGAYATGAAGCCCAACTTTAAGAGTGTGATAAGAACTTATAGTGAGAACTTAGATTAAACTCACCTGTAAAACATTCTCAAAGAACTTATTCAAAGCCTGTTAAAAGAATTAAAAATATAATTTAAAATAGGCTTAAATTATCAGAACCTTGGAGAAATTAGTTTCTCTTTTCCCCATTACRATATAAGAAAACATAAGAAAACATGGAACCTGAAATAATTTAGCAACATACTGTCTCATAACCAGCAACTGCAGGACCATGCTTGCGAGGAATCGAGGTTTCTATCCGAGAACGAGTTGTTGTGACACTGTTCAAAGATAAACCTATAGTGTAAGACTGAAATCAAGTAAAAGCAAGGAACACTTGTGAAGAAACCATCATGAAGTGAAATGATAATCAATAGAAATTCAAGTAAGGCATAACAAAATGGACTCGCATTTCCATACAAGGGAGCTACCTGTCTACACAGCTTAGACTTGTAAATTCTTAGTATAACAATGAATGTTAGAGAGGAAGAAGAGAAAGAAAGAAGAGGTAACCTTCTCATTAGGTTTTATACTAATACAGGTATAATTACGCCCTCCATTAGTAAAAAAAGGAAAGGACACAATTGCCATTGAATTATCACCACTCAAAACTCCCTTTCAAGCTAAGCATAAAGGTTATACATACCACGCTTGCACAAACTTACATCCATCTTAGGATGAGTACACCAAGATAGTCCACTTCCCGCTTACAGAAGCATATTCAGTAGAAGACGTGAAAATTGTCTATTGCTTCTTGCACTTTCAAGAAATGAGAGAATCACCCAGAAAAGCACACCATCCAGTGGTGGACCACCTGGTGCCTAGACATCCAACCCAGACAGCAACAGCATAGACAATCAACTGAGTAGATGAGAAGAAAAGGCTATGAGATAACATCCCTCTGACATATCAGATAATCCAAAGAACTGTGAAGGAATGAGGTTTCCGAGTAGTAGACACAAAATAGGGTATGTCCGACTTGGTCATGGTGAAATAAATAAGGCTACGAAGATGCTAACAATATAGGGTGGCATTGGGGGGGGGAGGGGGGATGGAATCTGTCCATCATCCTTCCTAAGCTTCAAGTTGAGTTCCAAGGAAGTGTCAACCTGCTTAGAATTAGTAACATTAGCTATATTGATCAAATCACTAGCATATTTCTGCTAATTGACAAAGTATCCTTGAAGACTCTAAGTGGCTTCAAGGCCAAGAAAGTAGGTCACAAGATCAAGATAGAAGTTGCTTCAACTGCTTGATCTCTTCCAAGTCATCGCCGATGATAAGTATGTCATCCACATACACCAAAAGAAGAGTCAAGCCCTAAGGATGCTTGAGAATGAAAAGGGAATAATCTAAAGAACTCTGCCAAAATCTAGCTTCTATTACAAACCCATGGAATCTCCCAAACCAAGCTTGTGGGGCTTGCTTGAGCCAATATAACAACTTATGTTTGCAGACTAACTTAGGATCATCATAGTACCCTAGAGGAGGTTTCATATGCACTGTCTCATGGAGATGCCCATGAAAAAAGGCATTGTTTACATCCATTTGGTGAACAGTTCACTGCTTAACAACAGCAATGGCAAGAATAAGTCTAAAAGTAGTCATCATGGCAACTGGGGCAAAGTCTCCTCATAGTAAATATCATGTTCTTGTTTAAACCCCTACACAACATGGTGAGCTTTATATCTATCGAAACTTTTTTATAAGCATTTATATCCATCGAAACTGCATTCAGAATTCAGCTTAACAGAGTATACCCAATGGTTACCAATGATGGAAGCATCTGGCAGAGGAGGAACAAGTTCCCAAGAATCATTCTCCAGTAAAGTCTGGCCATGGCATCTTTCCAATGTTTGATTGTTACAGCTTGTTGGTAAGATTTTGGAATATCTGTGGAAGACAACATAGCAGAAAAAGAGCTATGGGTTGCAGGAAATCCATAGCAGTCAGGAGGACAAGAGACTCTAGAAGAATGACATAAAGGAGTAGGAGTAGGAGGTGAAGGGTTACTTACGTGAAGTGAAGATGTGGATGGAATGGATTTTGTGGATGACAGAAGAGTAGACACCKGAATTGATGATTTTTTTATAGTAAAAAGAAAATTCATTAAAAGAAAAGTGAATACAACCTAGAGAGGTGTTGAGGGAACACCTCCAAGCACAACTAAGAACCAAAAAACTCCTAAACACTTTCTTGAAAACTTTACACCCAAATCCATCACATCTACCACACAAAACTCTTACTAAACCAAACACCCCAAAAGAAACATAAAACAAAACCCAAAAACTTGAAACTCTGAGAAGATGCACTGCAGCTTGAAGGAGCAAAACAGAAGAGAACTCCCTCCTCCCCCCGTCAAACCCGAGCCTTCTACATCCTCAAACAGAACCTCCTCCCCCAACTGCTACTTAGTGGACAACCTTCCTGAAGTAGACTTGTCGAGGCAATAATATAGATCCAGAATCACTTGTAAAGGTGAAGTTATGCAAAATAGAAAATGGTGATGCAAGTAATTTAACAATATGTTCAAAGAAGGACAAATTCTCAAGGAGACGTGCGAAGACAACAAACTTTAGAATCATAGCAAAGAAAACATTTATGTGCTGAACCGTACCCTGTGAAGCACAAATAGCTGATTAGCAATGAGCATAGTATGTTCATGAGGGAGATGCACAAAGCAAACACAACCAAAGACATGAAGCATAAAATAGTCCGATGAACAAAGAAAGAGAGAATAAAAAGGTGATTGGTTACAAAGAACAAAAGACAGAATGATGTTAATGAGATACATAGCAGCGTTTGTCGCCTCCACCCAAAAGGTAGAAAGGACATGAGAATCAAGCAAAAAGGATCTCACTACGCTCACAATGTGTAGGTTCTCGCACTAAAGCACATAGCTTAAAATGTGCTAGGCAAGGCACATAGCTTAAAATGTGCCTCGCTTGAGCACCTAGAGATGCCTTTTCAAATCACTGGTTAGGATGCTAAGTCAATATATGTCTTCATCCAGGATCACACATCTTGTTGAAGCAGAATGGATTCTTAGGTGTCTAAAGAAACATCCTAGAAGAGGCATTCTGTTCTCTAAGCATAGATACTTAAGAGTGGAAGCCTATACAGATGCTGACTGGACTAGATTAGTGGAGGATAGGAGATGCACAATAGGCTACCACACATTTGTTGGAGATACTTTGGTAACTTCGAGGAGTAAAAAACAAACAATTGTGGCTAGCTCTAGTGCTGAGGCTGAGCATAGAACCATGGCACATGGTGATGCAAAGAAATTATATCCCAAGAACATCATTTTTGAATTGGGGTTTAATGTCCCTAATCCTATGTCACTTTATTGTGACAACAAGGCTGCTAGCAACACTACTACAACCAAGTTACGCATGAAAAGACAAAGCATATTGAGGTGTGCAAGCACTTCATTCATGAAAAATTGTAGAGTGGTGAAATCTGTATTCCTCATGTGAACTCAAATGAGCAGTTGGGAGATGTCTTCACCAAAGGACTTACAAGTGCTCAACGCATTGAACTTTGTAACAAGTTGGAAATATATAAATATATATATAAGGCAACTTGAGGAGGAGTGATGTATCTTAGGAGTGTTTTTATAAATTATTGTCTGTTTGAAACTGAGGGCATACTTGTCCTTTTACTTTATGTTTGACACTCTACACAAAAGATACCAAATCGTTACCAAATGGACGCTCACAATGAGTCCGTAACTCATCAGTCGCCTACGATGAACATATGACTCATCGCACTTCTGCAGTGAACCTTGGGCGTGTGCGACCTTGCGATAAACCTCAGGTATGCATGGTTCTGCGATGAACTTTGAAGGCGCGCGACCTTGCGATGAACTTTGAAGGCGCGTGACCTTGCGATGAACCCAAGATCATTATAAAACAATGGGTTGCCGTGAACCGGAATTAAATATTGACCGCACGTGGAACTTTAAGTTACGCGTGTGATAAGCACCACGTAGGTTAGTAAAAGAAAGTACCCGTCTTACGATGACGTCACCAACGCCATGTCAGTTAAGTAGGATGCAAAAGGAAGTAGTACGCGTGGATTATGAGAATCCTCAGGTGAAAGGAAAGTCAACCCTTGAGAGATCTCATAAGACACGTGATGAAACTCTAGTAGTGCTCCTTAATGACCGACAACAAATCTAATATTCTCTTTCCCAATTGAAATCGAACACTTTTGGCTCCTTCCTTTCAGGACCTCGGGATCCCTCCCTATAGATGAGGATCCTCCTCATAATGAAAGCTATTCATTCGACCATTGATCCACTCAATCAGTAGATTCCTTGCTCATCCTATCTAACCATCTCTTCACTTCCTCTTGCCCTAACCCTCCGATTCATTCCCTGTTTCTAGTCTTCCTTTGTCTTTCAAGGAGACCACTCTCACATAGCCTAACCACACCTCACCTAGGAAACGCCAAGTCATGGCACGGAATCCAAAAGACGTCTGCCCCCGAGAACCACAGAAACTAAGAACCCATGTCATCATAGCCAAACTGCTGTAGCACCCTATCTAGATAGTAGACGGCCAATTGGGCTTCCCCAGAGCGATCAAGGTATGCGATGACACCAGACAAAAGTATGAGTCGTGCCACGACCGCAACAGGGTGTTTGATTGCCACGGCGCACTGCTGGTCRCCATCTTCAAGGTGTTTGATTTCCACGGCATTGAGTGGCACACAACCCAGGTATACGGCCTCCATACAAACCCCTCAAGGGAGGCCAACTTCAAATCAATCTCACTCATTTTGAATTGCTTATGCCTGTTGGCATGGAGACAGCTCTTTCCTCTACAAACATCGATCACATGCTCTTTAGTCTCGTCCCCTACCATAGTTGCGATGGAAGCGCAAATCGGGGGGAGTGGATGAGGTGTGACGCTAAGGTCAAAACACTCACACAAGAACATCCACAGGAAAGGTGCACAGATGTAACTGATCCGCCTCTTGCAGCTCGGGTCCATCATTTGTTGGACGGTGTCGTCCATTTGCTCGTACAAGTAGCCCAAGAACATGGAGGCCAGGGAGAGCTCGTGACCGTTGGTCGCGAGAGCTCGTGACCGTTGTCACACAACAACGGGATGGGTGATGTGCTGGACGGAACTACTCCTAACTCGTGAACGAACTTCTTCATCCACACGGCTTCTTTGGCAGCCTCACTTGCGGCAATGTACTCGCCCTCGGTCGTGGAGTCTGC